GGGATCCTGATCACTGGTGGTCATTCTCTAACCAGGAGAAACCCTTAAATGAATGTTACAAATCTATAGTCCTGTCTGCACCCCCTGAGTGCCACGAAATGCCTGCACCCCCTGTGTGCCACAAAATGTACAGAGCATTGCCACGGTAACCTTCAGCAGCATTCTGAAACCGTAAAAGTATCAGGGCCAGTAAGTGAGATTCAGTAGGGCTTCTACTCTGGCCAACAAGATCTTGTGCCCCTCGCCAGAAAAATTAGATGGCCGGTAAGGAAGATCTTAAATTTCACCACCTGCCATGTCGCCCCTCTCCATACTGCCGTAAGAAGGCCTTATGGCAAATCCGGCAATGCACATTGAAAAATAAACAGAAACTTTGTTTTATTCTGAATAGTGACTGCAAGGTGCTTAGGGCAGACCTTAAAGCAAGGATTTACGGGGAGATAAGAGGGAGGTGCTGAGTTGCAGGATGAAGAGGTGTAGATTTTCACACCTCACAAATAAAAAATTTTTAAAAATGAAGAGTAATATGCATTAATGCAGTCTACAAGAAGCCATGGACTGTGTATACTGAGAGCGTCTGCTTCAAATCTCAGCTTATCAGTAGATCACTACACAGAGTGACAAAGATACGTACCCTTTTCACTTTATGTGTGTGGTTTGCTACTGATCGGATGGGCTTAGCCTTTCAGCTGCGCCCAGTCCGACGCTTCCTGCTTGAAGCCTCAAACTAGTACGGAAATGAAATGACAGAGCTGAAGGGCGCGGGTTTAAATACTTTGTGGTTAAACCATCTACTGATGATTTAACCCCTTGAGATAAGCTGGCACCCGTGACCACCTTGCATCGTAACATAATGCCAATGGCGTTGTTATAGGTCCCAGTGTGTTCCTTTAAAAGATTGTATAAATGAAGGTGGGCTCATAGATTTGGCTACACCTAGCATTGTGAGGAATATCAATGTGTGTCAGTTTGGATTCTATTTGCATTGTCCCTATATGATACAAATATTAGAATAATCTTTTTTTTTCTGTGTGACTTGAATAGAATTTTCTTCCAAAAGCAGCTCTGGAATGTCTGTTAATATAGTTAACAGACTCTTATTGATTGATCTCTGAGAGATTTATAAATTAGAAGTTTGCTTACCTTTAATGAAAAACCTGTTCTTTCTCGGCTGCATGTTGGAACATAACCCTTAAATATTTAAATGACTCTTAGAATGAATTACCTTTTGTGATTATTATGTCTGAGTGTCTGAGTGGGTAAACCGTTGACGGTTGTGGGGGAATTCCTACAAATTTCTGATGCTGAGAGCAATATTTTTTGGTAATGGTATGTTTGAAATAGATGTTGGTAAAATTAATCATATGTATATTATATTTTTCATTTTCTTTAAGGATCATCTAGCATCATAAGAACAAATACTCATTTGAGAGGTCATGAAACAAGGAGGGCCACTGTCAGTGAATACCTGCACATAGTTACTTATACCCACTGTGATTTGCAAAACTAATCCATGTCTTTTCAGGCAGCAGAGGTCCTTTGCCATCCAAAACAAATCCAAGCTGTGTATGTGGCGTGTGCATCCCTAATCCTTAACTCCTTGATATTGACGTTATTGTGAAAATATTGTGGGCAATATCTGAACAGGACCTGAAATGCAGATGTAAAGAAGTATATGGACATTTTTATGCATGTGCTGTCTTAGGACAGTTGTGCCCAAAGCTAGATCCCCCGATGTTGTAGAACTACAGCTTCCATGATGCTTTGCCATACTAAACCATTTTAAAGGCATGCAAAGCATCAAGGGAGATGTAGTTCTACAACATATGGAGCTCTTCCTTTTGGTCATCCCTTGCCTAGAAGAAAACTGTAGGAATCCTAGTTCAGGGTCCCCAAAATTATTGGAACCTATATCTGGTGTTGGACTGGCTTCCTGCTGCTATTTTGAAAGTAAATATCCTCTTCATATTTAAAAAAAAAAATATATATATATTTTAGTTGTTTGGATGCATTAGCTGCATAATGTAATATAAGTGGGGGTCACTCACTTCTTGTCTACAATGTCCCTTTAAGTGATGGTAAGTTCTAAGTTCTCGTATACCACCATTGGGAGATCATCTTTTTTTTTTTATTTATTTTTTTTTTTTTTTAACAAACTGAAAGATTTAAAAAATAAATAAATAATAAAAAAAAGATTCTGGGATTCATTATAGTTACACAGCCAAAAGGTTTAAAATCTCCAACTTAGTCTGAGCAAGCTGTAAGGGATCTGAGCGTGTTGGAATTGTACCACATGGAGAGGGTCACACACATTGAGTTATGTTTTTGTTTTATTTTTTTTGGTTTTCAGAAAAAGACATTTTAAATTAAGAAAAATTGCAAATTGTCTAAAATGTTGCTCGGCTAATGTTTAAAAAGGTGTATTTTAGACCAGTAATCTTCTCATTTTTTTCCTATTTTCATGTTCATATTTAAAGTCGGTATGTCTTTTTTGTCTACAGTGGTTAATAGACTTGTTGAGAACCTGTGACTATTAGTAAAATAAAATAATAATAAACTGCTCAATTGCCTTTGGTCTCAAGGAACAATATCAATATGAAACCCATATGTTATAATGCCTAATGAGCTTGTACGCAGTATGAACAGGGCATGTACTGCATTCTTGTGCTGCATGTGATTTTTCATGGTTCTACGAGATACGCAATTCGGTAGCCTAAAAGAGTGTTGACATCAAACCTGCTGTAGCATCTGTAAAAACATGTGGCGCTCGGTGGGTTAGTGTGGGATTTTGTGTTTTGCAAGGTTACAGGAAAAAGGAAAATAATAAAGACAGCCAGAACAATCAATCAAAATGATAACTATATGGAGAGAGGCAGGGACAAATTAATATGGATTATTGTAGTGGTGTGCTTTAGTAGTCAGTGTGCTTTAAAAAACAAAGAAAAAAGTAACTTTGCAGCTCTAAGTCTGCCCTCTGTGGCTTTCTATCAGACAGCCACTAGATGGCTTTCGGAATCCAGACTTTTGGTCCGTTATCTGCTGCTTGACGTCCTCACGGACCTCCAGCATCAGATTTTCCCTATAGGAAAGCATTCAATAATGCTTTCCTATGGGGAGGTCTAATGCGCGCACAGCCATTGCCGTGCATGCGCGTTAGGTCTCCCCCGTTGGCCTTATGTCGGCAGGGGAGGAGCTTGGGCGGAGAGGTGTTTTACTGGCACTATAGGATCCCTTTAAATAACTGGAGGTCTTTTTAGTATCACTCTAATGGCCATTAAAGATGTTGATACAAACATATAAAAAAAAAACCTCTTAAATCATATTACTGGATTCCACATTTGGAAGACCATTACATGTAATGGTAAAAACACTAACAGTGTTATTCACTAAAGACAGAAATGCAAAATGAATTAAATGTGAATTTTACATTTTAGACCAAAAATGCTGAGATGGAAAAATGATCCAAGTCAGCTTTGATTTCAGTAAATAATCAGTCTACTGTAAGAGTCTGTATAATGAAGTCACATACTACATAGGACGCCATCTTTGCAATGGACACTTTTGACACTTTTCTGAAATCCAGTACAGCTTCCAGAGGAAATGGCGTGACCATTGGTATGTGAATTTTGTATTCATATTTTATTGAGTAATAAGGTGTTTTTACCAGGAAGATTAAAATCGCTCTCGTTTTAAAATCCTATGTAGAATGTACAATAGTGTCTTGTATGTGTAACATACAACAAATGTAAAAAAATGAAACATCCTCATTAATTCCACCTGCTTTCTTGATTGAAGATATAGTAATGTAGGAGTATGCAAGAATAGTCAACAATATATAGGGTCCTGTCCCACTGTCCTGATTTTATCCCCAGTTGTTCTGCATCGGTGAACAAACTTTCGCAGAAAATTTTGAAAAAGGTGTGTGGCTTATACTATCTGTCCGGTTGGCTACCAAAGTCCAAACCTCCAATCTGAAATTCTTGACAAGGCCTGACATGGCTCTGGAAGTTTTGACTTAATATTTTTCTGCAACCTGTTTGGAGCCACTTTCATTTTTTATGCATCTGTCACTTTAAAGACACATTTATGATGTCAGCTGCATCCTTTGGCTTTGCCTGCAACTTTTAATTACTTTACGTTATCCCCCGAGTGCATAGTATCTTGTTTCGCTAAGTGCATTTTAGTGTACGTGGATTAACTGCAGATATTTTTCCCGTGACTTTTCATTTCAGCTTAATGTCCATTATGTTAGGGATAGTTAGCCATTAAAATCCATTTGTCTTTCTTCAAAATGAATTTCAGAAACTTTGTATTTAGCGTTAAGACTAATCTCGGTAAAAACACATTTTAAGACACTGTGAAAGTGGATCTCGAATGATAATGCGATCCGTAGCTTTTACACATCTCATTCCTGCACTATTTGAGAGACTAAATGAAACTGATGTGGAAGCCTCGTTGGCTGTAAATACATTCTCTAACCAGGAAAAACCCTTAAATGAATGTTACAAATCTATATTCAGTGTGTGTTTATAGAGCAGGGGTTCCCAATTTAATTTTTCTGTGGAGCCCTTTGACATAGTGTATCAACGTCGTGGAACATACTGGCACATAGATACACACACCTTGACACACAGTGTGTATCTGTGTGTGTGTGTGTATGTATGTATCTGTGTGTCAAAGTGTGTGTATCTGTGTTTGTGTGTGTCTGTGTATCAAGGTGTGTGTACCTGTGTTTGTATGTGCCAGTGTGTATGAATCTGACACACAGATATACACACACACTGGCAGATAGTGGCACACGGATACACACACTGGACACAGATTCACACACCTTGACACACAGTGTGTGTGTGTGTGTGTGTATGTTTCTTTGTGTCAAGGTATGTGTATCTATGTTTCAAAGTGTGTGTATCTGTGTTTGTATGTACCGGTGTGTGTGTGTTAAGGTATGTATATCTGTGATTATATGCGCCAGTGTGTATCTCTGTGTCAGTGTGTTTCTGTGTGTGTGTGTGTGTGTGTGTATCTATGTATATGTATCTGACACAGAGATACACACACACTGGCACATAGTGACACACAGATACACACACACACACACACACACACACACACACACATAGGCACATAGTGACACACAGATACACACTCAGATACACACACACACACACACACACACACACACACTCAGATACACACAGTGACATATACACACACTTGCACCCATACACATTGACACACTCAGATACACACACTCACTGACAAGAACACATACACTCACACACACTCACTGACAAGCACACATTCACTGTTACTGACAAACACACATATACTCCCTAACAGACACATATCATTTTTTTTTTTTTAGTTTACATTTTTCATCCACCCAGCCCCCCTACCTTTAAGAGTGCTGGCATCGAGTCCCTGTGGTCCAGTGGGGCTGCTGGGCGGCTGGCGAGCGGTTCCTGGGGTCCAGTGGGGCTGCTGAGTGGCTAGTGTGCGGGCGGCGAGGGAGCCGAGCAGGAAGATCACTGCTCTCTCTCCGCCCTCGGCCATTTTATTTTTTAAACTTTTGGCGGAACCCAGTTGGTGTACTGCAGAAAAATAAATACAAAATCCACACATATTTCATGTATTCTAAAGCTTTTGTTAAATTTGATCTACTTCTAACCATGAAAAGTTTGGAAGGTGCTTATTCTTAAGCCACTTCTTTTACTTTAAAAGCAATATAAGGTTGTCTCACTTAATCATTTAGAATGAAATACCACAATTTAAATAATGTGCTGATTTCTATTTAAAATTTGTACCTTTATAACTAATTGCAGAAACATATGCGTGGCTGTTACTCTTGCGGATTCTGCTAGCTCTATTGAATGTATTAAAGTTACAGGCACACACTGACTGTCTGTCTGTGCTGGAAAAAAGGGGAGGGCTTGCAAAGGCTGCAGACATCAGATCTGCAGCTTTTCAAACAGTATTTTAGAAAATAAATAAATGCATCATGTTTTCATTGGGGTATATGCACATATTGCTAAAACTTATCAGCATTTCTATTGGAGTGTTCCTTTAAAGGAGTTATGGTGTCTGCACAGCCTGAATTCCCTGGTGCCATCACACGTTTCAATGGGGCTGCAGTGATAAGATGAGGGTATTCGCTGAGTATTCTCAGCTTTAGATAACTGCCTAACATTGGTATGGATTGCTATGGCTAATGGCGAGTTACTCGGCATTTTAGCCATATATCCAGCAGGGGGCATAGCCACAGGTGCCTAAGGACTCTCATGAACTATTAGACGGATTAAAAAAAAGGTTTAGCACTGATCTGTAGGTGCCTGGAGAAGTAGTTACGATGCCTAGAGTGTCTCTTAAAAAAAAAAGTTAAAAAATAATAATAATAATTCGTACAAATTATTTTTTGGGCACTAGTGATAACCTGTACATTCAAAAAGATAACATGCTAATCCAAACTGTGGCAAACGTGCCCACGTGACCAAAACAGGGGACTAGGGAACTAGGCCATAGGATAAACTCGGCACACCCCTTGTGCATGTCCAGGAGTTCGTCTGAAAAGTTTGGAAGCAGTTTTGTTTACGCTCAAACTGTCTTAATTTGTTTGCCATGTATTTACTTGGATTTCTTAATTTTAATATTTAATATCCCCATGAGCAACAAATATAAATAATAATATATTAATATAAATGTTTGACATAGTTTCCATTTTAAATCACATGGCTAACAAAAGTTTAAATATCAATATATAGAAAACAGAAAAGAAAATGGCACAGCAACCAACAGGAGTCATTCAGAAGGAGAAACGACCTCTCTTTCAGTTAGGGTCTCCTTCTGCATTTTTGCACATTCAAATTACTCTTCATTGATTTAAAGAATAAGTCTAATAATAGGTAAAGCATTGTGGATTTACCTTGGCACGAAAATTGTAAACTGAAGCTGTGACCAAATTATCCTTGCGGGGTGTCCAAGTAAATTCACATCAGGAAAGGAAAAAACTTTTTCTTTTATTTCCTCCTAAACATCCTTCTGGCCAGACACAAGCATAACAAGTTTTACAAACAATGTCACTTTTTGAGTTGCAGATGGAATTTCTCGTGTGTTGCTGAACTTTCGTGTAATGGGAGTATATGTATATATTTTTTGTTTTACATATTTAAATTTATTTTCAACAAACAATTTATGTCCGTAGTGTTACTGTAGCACTCTATTACACATCAAACACTCTACACTTGCTAGACCACAGGATCCTCTATAGACAGAACCTTTTCCCCTACAGCCGTACCTTTACAGCAGTAGCTCTGCCCGTTGTGAAGTTTGGTCAGACATAGTCCCTACTTTGTCTTAGTAGGTCTTTTAACTACGATGGTATTTCAGTGAATTTTCAACACAGTCTATGTGAGTATTTGATAAAGATTTTGTTTTTATGAAATACTCGTTTTGGAAGGGTAACCAAGCTACTTTAATCTATCTTTGATTGTACAACATGTGAAATGTTTTGTTAGATGTAAATGGATCGCCATTGCGACAGAATAGGATCCTTTGTAGTATGAAAGGATTATGGACTGTTTGTAGAGGAAAGAACATTATCGACAGTAAGGGAAGTGGTCCTTAGAGCTGCAGTAATCCCACTTTTCAATACCAATTCTGGAAGCTTGATGAATTTCATATTTGTCAGTTTAGCAGTAGGAAAGTCCATATTAAAGGTATTGTTACAAGTGCCGAGGTTCGGTATGACTCTGAAGCCCTGATGCATAGAATGCTGTAATCTCTTTAGACAGCAGGCAAGTTTGAGAACTCCACCACAGAGTTTAAGATGAAAAGTATCGACTGGAGCAGGTCTGGACCATCAACAGCAAGGTCCTGAATAGTCTGGCACTAGTGTCTAGTCTGCTGATATTCTCTTATAAAAATAGAGATTTGGAGCCTTGGAAGTTGGATATTTTCCACCCTATGTAAATGGAATTAAATCACAATCAGAGCTGGCATTGAGTTAGCGAGACTTACGAGTTGATAACTCTACCAGGTCTGCTATTGAAGAGCTGTCTGAGAACTTAAATCACAGCAGATGCTTGGCATCAGGTGGTAAGGTTTGATGCTGCTGGCCAAATAAGGTCTCATTATAATTTTATGTTTTGTACATCCCTTATGGTTAGCGGTATTTGAGAGCACAGTAAATGCTGAAAACATCGTTATCACTTAAAATTAACTTACTCGTAAATGCACTCGTCGATTCTGTAGTTAGTACTTTCCGTCTTATACTTTTAATGGGAGTCATGGCATTTGATTATTTCTGTAATAGTCATTTATATACATTTTTTTATATTTATTGAGACTACTCTGTTTTCCATTTATATATATATATATATATATATTTATATTCAAGATGTACAGGTGTAATATCAAATAATTAAAAATAAAAATCCAATTAAATAATTTGTTTCCAGATGGTCAAAAGGTATTTTAAAAGCTTTCTCTACAAGAGTTGTGCATTCAGTTTCAAATGAACTGGGATTTGTCCGAATTTTGGGCGCTCGACGAATCGTCCAAATTCCGTAACAACGTAGCGCCATAGGGTGGCGATAGGTATCACGAACAAACAAAACAGACAATGGATGAGCATGTTCTTTTGTTTCCTAATTCAGAGTTCAGTTGTGGCACCAAAAAAGGAGATGATTGATGGCTTGGGGAAAGCCACAAAATATATTTAAAAAATATATAATATATACATCTACAGATACAGATTTATTTATTTTTCTCACTATCTGAACTAAGCAGTCAGAATACCAGAAGATTACTTTCCCTACTTAATAATAAAAACCCATTCAATGTAAAAAGATAAGAGCAGACTTGTGACTTTATCAAGAAATTAATTTGTACCATGGCAGTTTATTTGCTGTTAGTTTCCTAATCCCTTGTAAATAGAGGCTGTCAGCCAAGTCAGCTTTGCTGCAGATATTTATTTGAGTGCTTTAGAATTGGGTGCTCAGATCTGGTCCAGGAGACTTTGCACACAGACAATCAAACACTAGTTAAACACACTGTGCATGTCTCTTAATCAGTAGCTGGATGCAGTTTCATGGTCACACACTGAGTATGCCAGCAGGTGATTAAACTAATTAGCAGACTCATGGGATTTCTAAACCATCTGATCATGGCTTAGTCCAGAGACCAGCTCTGCTCCAGAGAGGAATCCCAAGAAAAGAGACATATACAAAATAGGGGGAAGCCCTGAAGGTGAATTAAAAAGCTACAGGTATGACTTTTTTTTTTAAATTGCTAATTATATTATTGAGGCTTTTATCATTTCAGTTATCTGCCTGTCATTTGCTCATAGTTTAAAGACTGAATGTAGAGAGGATTGTTTTAGAATTATCATGTGTGTATTATTATAATTATGAGTATTTTTGTCATTGTATATTATTGTATATTTCTGTATTCCTAACCATATATATCATAATATCTTCATACCTATATCTATATCTGCACATATAGAGAATTTGATCAAAGCTTGCAGAGTTCTGTACCCACTGCCCACTCATTTTAAAGTGATCACATACAGTCTGTCCAATATTTAGCTGGCGATTTAATACAAAATGATCTTATCCTGTTTGTAGCATCTAATAGTCTTATATTAGAATACCTGATCTTAGAATGAGTCATTATAACAGGCTAACAGGTTGGGCTATCTGATCTCATACTGAGTCATTCTGATAAGTCTATTGATTTTATACTGATGAATGTGATATTATGCAAGTGTTAATAGGGTGAAAATCTCATGTGTCAGCAATATAACAGTCTAGCAGTGAAGATGCTTTGCCTATTAAACAAATCAAAGCTTCTTCAATGTAACATTATAATAAAACTATCCGGGTTCTCTTATTTTGTATGATAACATTATATCAGGGTTGGACTTACCCTGCTGTTATTTTTATACAGGGGTCTTCCTGTTGGTAGGTTAATGTTCTTATACAGGTGTCACAGTTTGTTGGCTGCATATCTCATATAGTGGTCTCTTTCGTTTCAGTCATTACACATTCAGTGTCTAAGGTGCTAGGTGTATGGGGGGGAGGGAGGGTGGTTCTAATAAACATGACAGAAGGAAG